AGGATTGTAGAATAAATTGAATATTTGAAATGATTCTTTAATCTAGTTTGCTATATTTTTTGATTTTCATAACTGTATATTATTAAATAATGCATAAAATCATAGTTTAGGTGAATATTTTGTGATCTATCGACTTTGTGTACTGATTTTAGATATAGAACTTATTTCCAAACATGATTTTTCTTATACATTTTATTCCATGTAGAGAATTTTTCATTAATTGAAATGTTAACGGGTTCATATACACTTCCATAAATAAATTGATAATTATAGGCTTCATAAATTTTACGATTTGGCAATGTTGATTATTTCTATTGTTGGTCAATCGAACAAGAAGCGGGAATAGGGACGTGACGTCACCACCCTACCACATTCTATTTTCAATAATTAATTACGGGAAAACTACGGTACTTAAAGTGAACTTTAAACAAAAAATCATGAAACAAGCCCATTAGGAAACAATTTAGTGGGATTTTTATTGAAGGTTTTATAATTTTTAATGTTTTATCCTTAGGGGTAGAATATTACATGCTGATGTACACTCAAGTTCATTTTTGTAAATGATAACGTTCATGATGAGTTAGCTTATCTGATTTTTGCTTTCTGTCAATTTAGGTTGGAAACTTCTCTAGATGGACCGGCATTTTCCGCTCAACCTACTCTTTCCTCGTCTCAGCCTCAGATACCTTTAGTATTTACCCCCGAGGAAAAACCACCTCTGGAAATTCCTGCCGAGTCGAACCCTTCTGTCAAAATACGTGATACTAACATAGAGATATTCAATAATAATATACCAAAAAATTGTACCGTGGTACAGGCGGGCCACTGTAAACCATACCATGAAGAAACGAAGCCATTCGAGATGGCTGATTTTTATAAATACTCAACCAAATACAAGAAATCACCTGTCAAGTCGGAAGGTGAACCTGATAAAAGTATGAAGAGCTCAGGAAGTGTTCATTCTCACAGATCTCTAAATGAGAAATTTGAAAATGGTTCTAAACCAGGATATTCCCCCATCGGTCATACCAGTAGTAGCAAGTAAGTCATTATTGATTTGTATTATTGAATATGAACCAAACGACAAAATCAGTAAAAAATTTACACTCCTGAAGTGAAGTATAGACAGGCTGAAGAAGCTATTGTATAGCTAAACTCGTGTTGCCGTTTTGCAAAGCTATATAACACATGTGGCCATTCCCTTTCAAAATGGCGGCGTAAAAGCCATGTTCTCCAAATTCAATATGACGGCACTATGTCATCTGTGGAAATATCCAATCAATCAGTCAAAATTACCTCATTGTCAAAGACTATGTCTTATTGGCAAAGCATTGGCAACTAACACTAAATACATTTACCAATTAGTTGGTGAGTTTTCTTTCAACAACACATTTTTTTGTGGAGGACTCAATTTTTTATACTGTTTTTTTGGTTTTATAATCTTTCACTCGTGGGGAAATACACTATCAAAAAGGTTTTCAAACTCACTGAGTCTTTAGCCGACTCAGGTCGGCTAAAGACAAGAGAGACCCACTATCAGCATCAGGGGTATATACCGTGTACTTGTGGAAAGGTATACATCGGAGTCACCAAAAGATTCATGGGAATAAGGCTGAAGTAGCATGAAAGAAACTGCAGACTAGGCCAAACGGAAAAGTCTTTTGTAACAGAACACGCACTCAGTGAAAGAAACCACAGGATTATGTTTGAAAACATGACCCTGCCCCAACCAGGGATACCATAGTCGACTGGTACGGGAGGAAATAGAAATCCATAAACACACAGATAGTTTCAACAGAAAAGAAGAAGCTGTGAACCTCAATCGAATATGGAATTCCATTCTAAGAAGTTCAACAAAAGAAAACATCATAACGGCAGGTAAAAAAGGGTCAACGAACGTTATTGACAATTTACCAAATCCAGGTATGGGTATTATTACACCAGACAACTGAATCAACAAAAATACGCTTTACGTAATTTACCTAAGCCAGGTACAGGTATTATCACACCAAACTACCTAAGAAGTCAACATAAATAAGTGTTACGCAACTGTAATATCCAGTCATCAGAGATATTAACTCAGGATGTATAAATCTCTGAGGAAGCTATCCATTCGCGCAAGCAAAACGTCAGGTAGAAATTACAAAAACCCACGGCCTTGAAACCCTGAAAATAATGCCACGTACTTTTTTACATTTTTTTTCTAAATACCATATTTTACTTCATTCATGTCAAAAATCTTAATAGAAAGTGATATATATTTTGAACTCTGACATCAAAGTGTACTCCTATGCACTGGTTTCATAGCCACAAAAAATGAACAGCATAGTATCTTTGAAAAAAAAGTTGTAGTAGAAAAGGTACACTTCGATGTCGAAAGTTCAAAAAATAACAGTTCTATTAAGATTTTCAAGATATATGAAGTGATATATGGCATAAAAAAAATTAAGATGTCATAGTTCTGCTATATTGAATTTGGAAGAAATGGTTCGACATGTCAAAATACGTACACACAATTTTTTTTCAAAATCGGCTGGTGCAGCCTATCCAAAATTTCACTAGGAAAAGTGCTTTCAATAAATATAAATTTTATTTGTAATGTTATAGTTTTCAGTAGCGATATCATTTGTGATTTCTCAAGATACTTGTGTTTTCAGTACCAGTAATCCAGGAAAAACCGATGGCAGCACAAGTTTAAATACCAGTCTCAATCTTGACCACATAGCAGTTTCTGAAAATTTTTCTGATGAAATGAATGCTTGGTATAAAGATCAACGGAAGAACAATAACAACCCCAGCAGTCCCTCCAAGAGTAGATCAACTGCTACTTTAGTTTAAAGAAAGTATTTTAAAGTACAAGGCACGTAATATGTTTTATATATTTGTACATTTTTTAAATTATATTTTATTAGAGTTTTATAGAATTTAAGTGTGCAGAGTGATTCGAATATCAGAATTAAATTCCTGGATAGCAACTAGCAAAGAAATAGAATATGTTTCATTATTAAAAATATGAACATTCTTCAAAATATCGGTCAAGAAAATTCAAACCCCTGCTCAAAAGATGTGTAGCTTTATTTTCAGGAATTATTCTACAGTCTTCATGTTATCTCTAGAGGTCTTTGAATTGTTTTTTGTATTTTTTTATTGATAATGAAAGCACAATCGATTGATCAGTTACCACAAGGATTACCGGAAGACAACTTTTTTGGTCTAGATTGCCTTTCTGCTTATTTCACTCTGAATCACTCTGCTAAAGTTCAATTTTTGTTCCGTTTCACTGAATTGGTCCGCAAGAATTTCAGTATAATAGGACATGTCTCTGTAAATATATCAAAGACTTTATTTTTCGACTGAAAAAAAAATATAGACACATTTTCGTACTATTGATAAGATGTTTTGTATGAAGGCTTCATAGAGAATTATCTTTATAATCCACTGTTCAAACTGTCTAGTATTCATAACATTTCAAATCGTTGATTATACTTCATCGACAGTGTTGATTATGGCTAATTGACAGTTTGATCTATTGATTATAGATACTACTATGTGGGGCTCTTCAGGGCCTTCGTAGTTTTGGTTGTTTGGTTGATAATTTTATAAGTTTCAATAAATTGATTGATGTAGCCGTTACTACGTGGTAAGAGATCATCATGAAAAATGGAACTTTCTATGTTTTTTACCACTTTTATTTATTTCGTCCTATATGGACATTTTCGAACTAATACAATAAAGCTGTTTAATTGTATTTTTTTACAAAATGATTAACAAATTCACACATATGTTGTAACAATAATCTATAACTATCAGTTGTGTGAAAAAAATTAAAAAAGGCAAAAAGAATTGAAAAGTTCTAAATCCTCATTGTAAGTGTTTGCAAGTCTCAAAAATCGACCTATAGACTCATTCTGACCACATTTGGTATGGCCATAATACGTCTATGTCAGTTTGTATGTGTGTATTTTGCTAAAAATATTGAAAAATTTATTATAAAGTATTATTTATGTTCCAAACAACATAAATTGAATATAATCAGTTCCTACATGGAATCAACTATGTCAGAATAATATTTATACAAAAGGATACATATGAAATCAATTTGAAACAATCAAAACTACATTTTTTATGAAGTTATTAATTCAAGGTTTTCTAATGAAATTATGCCAAAATCCTGTTACATGTTTTTGAAATCTATTGGAGCCCCTCTAGCAGGTCTTCCTTATGTAATTTCAATTGAAATTTATAATTTTTGCTTATCCCAGTGTTTTTAATATAAGTGCATGTAGTTGAATGTTTTTGTTCGAAAAGAGGATTACTCGGATTGGAAATTTCCAAAGTGATCCTGTTTTTATATACCAGAGATTGTTGTATTCTTTGATTAGTGTTAAATTGCATTTTGTGTCTCCGTTGCTTATACATTTATTTTATGTCACGTTTAATACATATATCTACAGGAAGTGCCGTAATGCCCCTGTAGTAGCACACTAGATACTTTGAGTTTTGTAGAAACTTTAGTTGATTAGTTGTTACACATCATATACTCATTTTTTAATTGTTCATTGTCCATTTTATTTTCCAAAATTATTTTACTTATCTTGATCTCAAGAAAACTGCCTCTTAACCCGGGTTTTATTTGAATTACTAATTTATTTATTGACGTGATTATATATCACTTTTTGTTGACAATTGTACGTATTGAGGTCATATTATAATCTCGCATATGTCAATCCAATGAAACAGATTATAATGATGATCGTAAACGGCTAACTGACAGTGTATGTATGTATTATAACAGGTGGATGAAGATTGTTAATCTGTTAGCGTTCAGTTCGACATCTGAAGAAATGTTTGTATGAGTATTCGTGGTGTGTTTGAACATTCAATTTCTTCATTTCAATTTAGTAATAATTGAATCAAAGCTGGGTGAAATTTCATACTATAATCGGGATGCATATGACTCCGTTTTTTTATAGTGAAACTGTTTTTCATATCTCATTTTTTGAATTGACGTAGCACCCAATAGACAGTTATGAGGAAATATTTGAGTTAACGATAGTTCTTAGAGTGTGTGTCATGAATCTTAATAGTATTAATGATTATGCACATACTACAGGAAAATATCTTTCAGTGGTCCAAAAATGTTTTTCCATTCTATTTTGAAATCACCATATTCTAAACACATTAATTCTTCTAGAACGAATCCACAACAAAAATAGGCTTTGGGAACTTTTCGTTCACCTGTGGGGTCCAATAACCAAAAGTTGGAGACATGAGCTTTTTCGAAGGCCTGACGACCTACAAGAATGGACAACCTTGTAATCCATATGCTAAGAGTTTTTGGATAAAATCCACCCTTTTGTCACAGAAGGAAAACTTTTGTTCACATTTTTTTCGTCAGACTTCAGTTTCCTCTATATTTTTTCATAGTGTTACATTTTCCCCGTGGGTTTGACTATAATTGACTACACTTTACAATTTAACTCAACTTTATTTCACTGCTACACTGACAATACAACACAGACACTTCAACTGAATTTTCAGACTAATACTCCAATGTCTATCGACCCATTAGATCACTTCGTACCGCACTTTCAACTAGACTTGCCCCATCTGTCTGTTGGTACTTTTTATATATCATAATGGAAGCCGATAGGGAAGTATCTCAAAGCGAGCGACATCTAGAACGATTGGGAAGCGCAAGTCGAATTGAACGCGACCTTGGCCAAGTCACAGTCGGTTGACGAAGACCAGCGGCGGTCGGTGTCATTTTGTTTTAGGGGATAATTTACAGCATAGGTCTTGTTCGATTGATGACCTATTTGTAGAAATTCATATTGAATATTGAATAAATAAAATAACTTCAGTCTGATTTCTACTAAGTTTTTCATTTGTTACGACCGGTTTCTGTTGGTTAAACCATTCTCAAGTAAACTGCTTGGGAATGGTTTGAGACTCGGACAAAATTTATTTTCTTTATTCTATATACTACAATAGTTAAACCTTCACTTTTTTACCAGTCCCCTCGCAGCCCCCACGACTATGGACAGTAGGTTCAAACAAGGAGACAGGAGACTTCCATCGAAGAAACTTCAGTGTGCACCCAATGGGGTTCAATAAGTAATGGACCCTACAGGTTGAAGACTAAAGTTTCTTTGTAGCCCTGACCTACAAGTCTAGGATAGCGACACCTTGTAATCCATATTTAACTCAGAGGTCCAATAAATAGTGGACCCACAGGTTGAAAACTGAAGTTTTTTTGGAGCACTGACCTACATACAAGTCTAGGAATGTAGACACCTTGTAATCCATATTCCACCCAGAGGATAAAACCACACAAATGGGTTTAGGGAAAATTTAATTCAAACCTCTACTTTTTAACCAGTGTCTAACAAGGCAGAGAGTCGGTTCAAACAAATAGACAGGAGACTTCCATGGAAGAGACTTCAGTCTGCACCCAATGTGGTTCAATAACTAATGGGACCCTACAGATTGAAGACTAAAGTTTTATTATAGCCCTGACCTACATACAAGTCTAGGAATGTAGACACCTTGTAATCCATATTCCACCCAGAAGATAAAACCACCCTTTTCTCACAAATGGGTTTAGAGAAAATTTAATTCAAACCTTTACTTTTGAACCAGTGTCCACATATGCAGAGAGTAGGTTCGAACAAGTAGACAGGAGACTTCCGTGGAAGAGACTCCAGTCTGCACCCAATGGGGTCCATTAAATAGTGGACCCCACAGGTTGAAAACTAAAGTTTCTTTGTGGCCCTGACCTACATACAAACCTAGGAATGGAGACACCTTGTAATCCATATTCCACCCAGAGGTTTCATTTGATTTCCGGATAAAAACACCCTTCTCTCACAAAAGGGTTTTGAGAAACTTCATTTCAAACCTTAACTTTTTAACCAGTGTCCACATATGCAGAGAGTAGGTTCAAACAAATTGACAGGAGACTTCCATGGAAGAGGCTTCAGTCTGCACCCAATTGGGTCCAATAACTAATGGAAACCACAGGTTGAAGACTGAAGTTTCTTTGTAGCCCTGACCTACAAGTCTAAGAATGGAGATAGACACCTTTTAATCCATATTCCCACCCAGAGGTTCATTAGGTTTTCAAATAAATTCATTCACCCTACTTTATCAGAAGGGAAACTTTTGTTCCCCTCATTTCAGGCATAATATCCATCATCTTTACTTTTTTGTCAATGTCCTCTTAGCCCTTGAACTTCCATAAAAGAAACATTATTTTCCAGCTTTTGGAGTTGTTATGGTTGATGAATATTCACCTGATATTTTCAAGTGAAAGAAAAGTTTCAGGCAGTGAACGTTTTTCAATTTTTTTTTTTTCCTTTATATCAATTGTATTCTATTTTCTTTTGTAAAACTATAGTTGTAGAAAGCACCCATCTGGTTAAACATATTGTGCGGGAGAATTTGAAACGAAATAATTGATGAGCCATCCACACCACAAATAGTTCTAAAATCAGTGTTGAATATTTTATAGTTTTTGTGAAAATGGTTGTTTCAATGTTATACATTATGTTTAGTTCTATCGGAACTGATCTCGAAAATAGTATGAGCAAGCTAATGATTGTGTCGGTTGTGATTACTGGGCAATATTTGGTTAAATGTTACAGGGGTTCATAGCTATGAATATTTTTATATTAATATATTTTCATATTGACACGTTTCTTTATTTCATGAATCCAGATCCCCCTCTTATCATTCTTTCATATACTATTAATTCAATGTTTTTTTGGAGACCCACAAGCACCGTAGAACAACTTGAAATTCAAAATAATTGGAGTGGAGATGACAAATACTGTGTAATAACACGAGGGGCATTGAATAGTTGTATTAGAGTTTCCTTACACTTGTAAAGGCTTCTTGTTTGTCACCAATAAACTGGACACATTTGAGTCCTGAGCACACTGCTGCCTTGGTTAGATTTGTCTTGCATTGACAAAGATCTGAAATCGATCTGTACATGATAACCTAATTGATTTCAAAGAGGTCCCGCTGCTATATGAGGTCTGTTGGAAAAATAAGGTGCATATTCATTATTCATTAATTTCCATGTTGTCCCCTTCAAAGTAGCTCCTCAAATATAATACACTTGTGCCAGCGTTTTTTCCAATCCTCGAAGTAGTTTTGATACGCACTTTCTGGTATGTCCTTGAACTCTCCAAGCAAATCGATTTTTATCTCCTCAATCATCGTAAAACAACGTCCTTTCATGGCTCTCTTCAATCTTGGGAACATGAAAAAGTCGCAGGAGGTCAAATCTGTTGAATACGGTGGCTGAGACAACCAAAAAACCACAAACAAGAGCAATGACCTGTGAGCAGGTGCATCATCGTGAGGCAAAAACCATGAATTGTTTTTCATATTCGCAAGCTGCGTATAACTTCAAGACGTCATTCAACAATTCCTGAGCGATGCTCATACAGCGTTTTTTGGTCAAAATTCAGCAATTTTGGAACGAACTTTGCTGCCACACGCTTCATGCCCAAAATTTCCGAAAAAATTGCATACCATGAGCCAACCGTTATTCTGACATCCTCAGCTACCTCTCTGGTAGTGATTCGATGATTTTTCTTCACTTTCTTGACATTTTCATCGGTTGTTGATGTGCTGGGGCACCCAGGGCAAGCATCCTCATTCATATCTTCTCGACCTTCTATGAAAAGCTTATACCACTTGTAAACATTTTTGTGACTCAGAGGACAATCACCGTATGCCACTGTCAACATTTCAAGTGTTTTTGAGTACTCAATCTGAAATGTTTAACTCAAATCTATATTGCTTCATGAAAGAAGTTGTAGTAAAGTGGCTTGGTAATTGTTGTTGTAGTATCATTACAGTCGGGTTTTCATCACTAGACAAAGTATCAGATTTGGAAAAATTATAATTGAATTTACGTTTCTCTCCTCGATACAGTCTTCAGACACAGTTTGATTTCTGTTAGAGTATTAGAACATGTGATATTTCTTTCCCGCTTGGGGTTTTGTTCACGAAAAGAAGGTTTCGTATATGCAGTTGAACCGCGTTGAAATTTATCGAGTTCCAAGCTCTTTTTTGTTTGGGTCGGATCTTTCCTGCACTGATGAGATGTAATAACCTCAAAACAGGTCTGTAGGTGATCTACGCGAATGATTTCAGAATGCTCCTGCTGCTGGATGAACGAGAAACATCTGCTGGACTAACCTATGAGAGGTATCTTCCATAAATGTCTGTCGGATTCAATCCAATATCCAGCGTGGTATTAGCCGGGAAAGTAGTTGTTTTCGGCCAGGTATTTACCAAACCTACAGTGATCTACACCAAGTGACCATCTTCAAGAGGAAGATTAAACTCTTGAAGATGATCACTTGGTGATCAAAACACGTGTCGAGGTGTTAAAACACCGGTTTGGTGTTGGGAAAAAACTCCAGTAATATTCATTACTACACCAAAGGTTTCAAATAGTGCATCACAAGTACCGTGTAGGTGGTTGGGAGAGATGAATATTTTGAGATTTTATTTTGAAATATTCATTTTCTTATTACATTTATGGCTTTTTCCATTGATGTGACTATGGTTGTTATTTCGGAAATTTTCCAATTACACTTACCATATAACAGATTACTGTATAGCTATTTTTATAATTGGAATAAGAGGAAATGCTCTAAAATGGATTGACTCATATTCAGCAAACAACAACAGAGTTTCCAGTGGCGCATTTGCTTTTTCAGCTGCAGGAATGATTTATGCAAATCTGAATTAGCAGAGAATCAATTTATATGCTATATATGCTACAAGCCTTCTGGCAGGAGGAGAAACGTATCTGAAAATGATGGTAAACTGTTGTAACATTTTTCAGAAAACAAAAAACTGGTTGAAAACAAATAAGTTAGTATTCAACGAGTCGAAAACTAAAGTGATGCTATTTGCAAACTATCTAACAGCAGAGGAAAACCCAAATGATATATCATTTTTCAATAATTCCTTTCACTTATCGCATGACACCAAGTTTTTGGGTGTTTACATTGATGAATGGCTGAACTGGTCACAACATATAGAGGAAATCTCTTCGAAGCTTGGAAGAGTGTCCTATGGACTGAGAATAATCAGTAAACATCTAGAAAAGCAAGCAGCTTTATCTGCTTGCTTTTCAAGATGCTTTTATCTGCTTGCTTTTGAATCTGTCATGAAATACGGAATGAATTTTTGGGGATCCAAAAAAGAGTAATGAGAATAATCAATTACAAACAATATAAGGACTCTTGTCGAACAGTTTTCAAGAATAATAACATCATGACTGTATATGCTCTGTATATTTTTGAATGTTTGATGTAATTGTTTAAAAATAGAGAACTTTTTAATGTAAATGCTACAGAACACGATTATAACACTAGGAGACATGACCTCATTTATCCATATCATACATTGAGACATACTGAAAAATCTCCCTATTATATGGTAATTAAATTTTACAAGTTATCAGTACTTGTTAGACATTCTGCTAGTAGCAATCAATTAAAAAAAAACATCAAAAATATATTTGTAGATTTAGAACCCTATTGTGTTGAGGATTTTTTAAAACATCAGTTTTGAAATAAAATTGTGTGTGACGTCATTTTATTACATGTTGTAATTATTTTTTATACAAATAATTGTGGCATTTTCTAAAATAAACATTTTTATTGTTGTAAAACATTGAAACCTAAGAAATCTTATTTAAATGAACTATCTTACCAATTTTTAGCAAAGATTTTTTGTATTTAGAGAATTTACTATCAAACACGCCTCAAAAGCTATTGTGTAGTGAAAAACATGTTGCGATGTTAAAATGAGGTATTGTTATTTGAGTAAAGTTATTTATGATAAATTTGCGACTTATTCAGAAGAACCCATAGGTGCAACAGTCACAAAATAATGATACCTCAATAAAGTTTGGGTATTTTTTTAGAAACTGTATGAGTAGGTACTGATTAAAGTGTTATTTATTTTAAAAAATCTATTAGAATTCCCACCTTGTAAAAGTATTATTAGTTGATTTGAAAGGGATATATTTTTAGGAGTGATTAATTTTTGGGAAAGAAAGTTTTTGGCTTTCTACTACTCCATCTGATACAAAAAAATGGATGAGAGAATCTTCCAAAGAAAGGAAGGAAGTAATCAATTTGAAAATAAGTATACTATCTATGAACTAGATGCCTACTACAGGAATAATAAGGGTTCTGTTTAAAACATTTTCAATTTTTTAGCTCCAACTTGTTTCCTGATGAATTTAACCCAGTTTGATTAGTAATTTTGAGAAAATTTCCAAACTATTGATTTTACAAGAAGAACTGTATCTGCTAGTTAGTGCATAAGGTCTATTTATAAATAGTGCACTTTACAGGAGATCACAACTCTGGTCATCTCCTTATGTTTTATTAGTATAATTTCATAATCTATTATTAGTTTTCATGGAGTAAAATATGAAATTATACTATAATTCCAAAATAATAAGCACTAAGTTCTCAGAAATGACTGACGTTTTTACCTTGATCTTCTTCAGGTGTGTCTATACTGTAGACACGTCTGAAGAAGCTATTGTATAGTGAAACACTTGTTTTTGTAAAACTTAAGTGAACATCTCCAAATTAAGTGTTTCCTTGAATGGAACATAATTGGTTATATGTAATCAGATGAACACTGCAATCCGTGAGCTCGTCTGTAAATAATATTTGTTGTTTCAGATAAACAATGGGTAAAGAAAAGGTACACATCAACATTGTCGTCATTGGACACGTAGATTCTGGTAAATCTACCACTACTGGCCATTTGATCTACAAATGCGGTGGTATCGACAAACGTACCATCGAAAAATTCGAAAAGGAAGCCCAGGAAATGGGAAAAGGTTCCTTCAAGTATGCGTGGGTACTTGACAAACTGAAGGCTGAACGTGAACGTGGTATCACAATCGATATTGCATTGTGGAAATTCGAAACCGCAAAGTACTATGTAACTATCATTGATGCCCCTGGACACAGAGATTTCATCAAGAACATGATCACTGGTACATCGCAAGCTGATTGTGCCGTACTCATTGTCGCTGCTGGTACTGGTGAGTTCGAAGCTGGTATCTCCAAGAACGGACAAACTCGTGAACATGCTCTGCTTGCATTCACCCTTGGAGTGAAACAACTTATCGTCGGAGTCAACAAAATGGATTCCACTGAACCACCATACAGTGAAGCCCGTTTCGAGGAAATCAAAAAGGAAGTTTCTTCGTACATTAAGAAAATTGGTTACAATCCCGCTGGAGTTGCCTTTGTACCAATTTCTGGATGGCATGGAGATAATATGTTGGAACCATCCACCAAGATGCCATGGTTCAAGGGATGGGCCGTTGAGCGTAAAGAAGGAAAGGCTGATGGTAAATGTTTGATTGAGGCTTTGGATGCCATCCTCCCACCAAGTCGTCCAACTGAGAAACCTCTCCGTCTTCCCCTTCAGGTTAGATACAGTTCGATAAACGTTATTATCACACCATTATTTAAAATGATGAACATTTTATTATGATAACCTGATTATTTATTGGCTTAATCTTTTCTGATTATATTCCATAATTTCGATTGTAGCAAGTTATTCTAGTATTTGTTATTAAGATGAACTTTATTTTAGGATGTCTACAAAATTGGTGGTATTGGAACAGTACCCGTTGGTCGTGTTGAAACTGGAGTATTGAAACCCGGTATGGTTGTTGTCTTTGCCCCTGCCAACATCACCACTGAAGTAAAGTCTGTTGAAATGCACCACGAAGCCCTGCAAGAAGCTGTTCCCGGAGACAATGTTGGTTTCAACGTTAAGAACGTTTCCGTCAAGGAATTGCGACGTGGTTACGTAGCTGGTGACTCCAAAGCAAGTCCACCAAGGGGAGCTGCTGATTTCACAGCCCAAGTCATTGTCCTCAACCACCCTGGTCAAATCTCCAATGGATACACGCCTGTCCTTGACTGTCACACAGCCCACATTGCCTGCAAATTCGCAGAAATCAAAGAAAAGGTTGACCGTCGTTCAGGAAAGACTACTGAAGAAAACCCAAAAGCCATCAAATCTGGTGATGCTGCCATCGTCAACTTGGTACCCTCCAAGCCCATGTGCGTGGAATCCTTCCAAGAATTCCCTCCCCTTGGACGTTTTGCTGTCCGTGATATGAGACAGACCGTTGCCGTAGGTGTTATCAAGAGCGTCAACTTCAAAGATGCCTCTGCCGGAAAGGTCACGAAAGCTGCAGAAAAAGCACAAAAGAAGAAATAACCTTTCCATATTGGTTACTCCTAATTTACTTTTGATATATACTTTAAATGATTCAACAAGCTGGAGTTCAAATTTATTTTACTACTTTGACTTTTTGTGATCTTTGAAATTTCTGATACTGACACATTGGAAAGAAACAATAAACGTGGTTTTCTGACAAGAGTTTTTTATTTAAAACTTCAATTTCACAGGTTGTTGACCTGTTGTGAAAAATTAAGACTTAATTTGAGCGAGGTCGCTTATTCCTTGGGTAATAATCATTTTTTGTGATCAAAGTAACTTTTTTCATTAACCTTTTAGGGTACTTGAATCTTACATCTAGTCTAGAAAATATTAATTATGGTGGAGAATTTCGTACATTGTGTAAAAAAGGTAAAACTTGTGTACTTTCTGATGAATTTTCGAAACTTGTCTAGAGTTCGGAAATTAATTTGAGGAGGAAAATGACAAGATATAGTTGATTTTTTAGTTCTGAAGATTGCGGTAGATTTTGCACGTTAACATATTCAGTATCTTGAATTCTTTGGAGTCGAATCATTAAATGTTCTATTACAATTTTGTATTAAAATTCTGTTAAGAAAACCAGACCAGTAAGAACTAATAAAATAAAAGGTGAAATTGGAACCTCCTCAGTAGAATGAATCCCAAAACGAGCACTTTTCCAATCATAGGAACTTCAATACTGTTTATCGACGCGCGTTTCGCCAAGTTGGTGTTTTTAGGAAATTAAGAAAACTAATTGACTATCAAATGAAATTCACAGATGTCATAATTGGCAGAGCATTTTAGTTTTGATTTAAACATGTGTATTGGAGCTTCTTTGTTTTTCATTTGTAGGGGTTATTAACCCATTATATTGGGAATAGAGATCTGGGCCCAGGCCGATAAGGTGCAAATGCACGTGTATGATAAGAGTAGTTAATGTTTGTTTGAAAGTGATTGACAATGTTTCATGATGAATTTCATTAGTTCGGATATCAGACAAGATTAGTTAATGGTACATAAATAACCGTTCCTGCTCCTTCCAAAGGTCTGAAATGATGAGGAATGACATCTGAATGACAGTCAACAGAACTGAGGAAAAAAGGTTTGTTCCCTTATGAACTAATGGTTAATGGGATCTTACCTTATATTGTGCAGTTCCTAGCACGTAACTTCTGTATGTAAGCAATGGAAGCTTTTTAGAAAATGTGTGAATCAGGTTTTGTTTTTCATAACTGAAAGAGTATCAGAATTATTTCCTCCTACAAATATTGACTTTTATACAACGTCTTTTGCTATCACTTGAAAATGAATGATATAAGTATCTGACCAATTAGAGTTTTGATATAACAATAATTACAGTAGATTTACCTACTATCAAAGAGGATAAGGAGGGTTTATCCTCGAAGATCAATATTTTATAATTATTGATTTCCACTCTTCAGTCATTCATTCAGGATTCTCTCAGTTTTAAGAATATGAAAAACCGTGTGAAATTTTGAGTCTAGGTATAGAGCCTCAAAAAAACTTGGTATTATTTATAAAATCCTATATTATCTTTTCAAAATCCTTATCAGTAATGAAAGTAAAATAAAGGTGATTTTTCTAAAAAAAAGGCAATATTGATAAAGTATCTCAATTCGAATGAATTTTAAATATTCTTTATTTTCTTGATACTTTTATCTTTTACGTAGGGTTGCCCAACAAGGTATTTTTTATGGTCATTAAGAAGCAGTGAAATGTATGGTAGTATAGAGTTCACTGTTAAGAAGTCAAACATCTATCTCTGTCTCTCTTCTTGGCTCTGCCTGCTCCCTTTAGGTGCAATATGCCAGCTCATGTGGGGGACTAAAACCATAGAATTATTCTGTGCTACAACTTTATCTGATTATTGATGATCGTGTTGTAGCCCGGTTGATATTCATATCCATTGTATCGTCCTTTCACCATGCGTTCCACTAAGCGCTCACAACGATCAAAATGCTCTTTTAGCCGTTCCACATAATGACCGCGGTCGTTGTGGTCGCGGCGAAAACGTCGTCACTCTTGACGTCATCACTTTCGCTCACAATGACCCTTCAGAAAAAGTGGGCCAAATCTTGTTTATATATCTATGCGCACAATAGTACAAATCGGTTTATCTATTGAACTACTATGAATTATTTTCTTTCTTTTCATGCTACGCACATACATTTATATGCCACCACTGTGAATGAATTGTTTACAGAGTTGCAGCGATTACACGATTTGACCATCTGCCGTATTTGAAACCAGTGTTGCTCCTGCTGGAAAAACATTAGTAACAAATTATATCAAAAAAGTAGCATTTGGCAGAAACTTCTTTTTTCCTTCTGAATTTAATGGTATCAGCTTCCATAAATCAAAAGTGATAGGTAACGTATCGAAATCGAAGGTAGATGTGTGAAAATGCTTTACAATCATCTTTTATACGTTAAACTCTTCGTTACGATACGTTAACTGCCAGTTAATTTCAGTAAAACGCCAACGGTCAGTTTTGATACGTCAATTGTCAGTTTTGGTGTATAAGTGTCATTTGAACATTTCTCGAAATGCAACAAAATGAGTAAAACGTAACTTGGTAATTTTAAACACCGAAAAGTGATATTTTGTTACTATAGTAACGCCACAGATTAATCTGTGGTAACGCCAAGAACAACATTGAAACGTGTTCTCTTCCTAATAGAGTTTTCTACAGATAAAACTAGTGCAGATGTACTATATTTATTTTCTATATCATTATATTAGAAATTTGCATCTGTTTCACCAATGGAAAACACTATATGACTAAAAATTTTGTGGATATCTTTATTGCCTCAACTGACTTCAGTTCAGATGATGATAAATGACAAGAGGGTATGATTGACAAGATGTTTCTAAAAGTTTTTCCTATATGAGCTCATCATTACACCAACATTGTTTTTTATTTTTTTATTCATTGTAGTTGTGACATTCATCACGTTCTTTGAATTGTGCCAGACACCTATCAATCGAGGTTTGCAGTTGATGGATTTGATTTTGTTGAAAACTGACAAAAAAAAGGTTCATCTCCACGACTAAAGTACTAGAATTTCTTACAAATTTAAATATTATCTGTTTAATTAGGCATTTTATTTAATTTGAACTCATCATCTGTAATACCTATATCGACACATCTATATATTAAAAATAATTTTTGATTATGTTGTCAGTTGATGATTGTGTGAAATTTTGCAATGCGTTTTTTCATTATTGTTGAAATCTCATCCATCATACTTAATCTGTTCACTGATGGATTAATGTTGAATTGGAGAACTCGTCTCAATTAACAAAGATTAGGGTTTGACAATATTTCAGGAAAAATCTCTTCCATTCCAAAGCGATAACAAAACATTCAAAGTTTTTGACACGAGTATACTTTAGGTTAAAATGAAATGTTGATACACTAACGCCATCCTCTTTTAATATTTTTGTTTGGCAACATTGGCGACATCATTGTGTTCTGTGCATGGTGTTTTCTATTCTGTTCTCTCCTTGCATTTGTGGTTGTGAATTATCAATAGATGTTTTTGTACCAGCAAAATAATCGTGAAATTTGAGAATTTCCGAAATTAACAAGTTTATATTAGTGACATTGTGATGTGTTGATTGTGGTTCAATTTGTGTTAAAGGAAAGATTGAATAATTTCATGAGAACATGTTGCAATAATCCAAGTTGATTGTCTACGTATATTGTCATTTCCCAGAAGTACTGGTGTTTTCAGAATGGTGCATCACAGAACGACCTAAGTATGTTATTTTAGCTTATTTTTCAAAGTTCAGTGATTTCAAGGAATAAATAATAGTTGTATTTCATAACCAATTTTGTTTTTTCAATTCAGTTTATCAATAAATACACAGCTGAATCATGTGTTTTTGGTGTTTATATTATCTGGCAGTTTTTTTGTTGTGATTTGGATAAATCTGTATTATATGATAACAGGAATTATATCAAGTTGCCTAATTTATATTAGATGATACCTCTACTGGGACTATTTCTGAATTAGAAAACCCTACAAGATGTTTTTTCAGTTATAAATAGTATTGTTGAACTTATCTGTATCCGTCGGCCGTCAACAGTTCAAGGAAATGATAAAACGTCAAACCAACAAAAATTATTCAAAATAATTCTTGAATGGATTTTTTTACTTCTCAGTTTAATTCTAAACATTACTCCATTCCAAAGATTTATAAAACGAAAACAAAGCTCAACTATTTCAGTAGTTTTGCACACGAATATGAGATCCGATAAAATCATCTATGGGATAAAGTAATCATTTTCAATATGCTCAGTATTTGTGAATAGTTGTACTCTGCTCTTTTGAATCCTAGCTGATATACATTGTAAAACCCTTTGTTACAGGGAAGACTAGTGACACAACTTCAGTATTTACGATTATTTATTGAATAGCTCTTTACACTTTTCAGACAACCACTGCCAGTCTCAGAGCATGTTACTATTAGTGTCTAGTCATAGTCTGCCGGTAGAATACATTGCAATAGACAGCATGTACGACCGCAGCAGTAGACAATTATAATTTCACACAATATTATACATCTCCCTCATAAAATTAATCTATCTGGTTTTTAAACAGCTCTACCAGAATGAGTCATCTGTATATTTGCAGGTTGAAGTTCAACCTTATCAGAACATGCAAATGCTTTTCTTTGGTTGTCTTGAACTATACGACTGTTATCGAGGGACAAAGATTTAGATTTATTTAAAGTGGAAATAACATCACCATCAGCAGAGTTATGAGCTCAGGCTCATGAACATTGTTTTCAGTAATTTTAAAGGTGTTGTCTGATATCACCACGGCGTTGCCTCAGCAGTCTTGTAATGTACAGCTGCCAGACTGAGTCATGGCCGGTGAGAAGCCCCTTCCTCAAGTCGTGCAGTAGATGTGTAGAAGTCCTTTATCAGTCTGTTAGATTATTCAAGCTGTATACGTAAAATTACAAACAAAAGTTTCTATTCCTTTTTTCCTAATACTTTCTTTGTCATACATCAACCCAAACTTTACGCAGATACGATTTCTCCCACCGGCCACGACTCAGTCCGGTAGCGGTATATATGACCTAGGACAGTCATGAAGTCTTTCAATTTTAGCCGGTTCCCAACTTCTACGTTTATGATTGAACACTGTAACATTAGAACTTTCTGTAACTTTAGGGCTGTTTTATTGAAATGAATTTCATTAGTCTGACGCTTTGCAAGATTTTTTTCTTCAACATTCTCACACAAACAGGGCTTCAACAGTTTACTAACAATTGGAACTTTGGTCTTGCATACCTTTCAATGTTGAATTTCTATAATTTGAAAGGGTACTGCTTAAATCTCTTTTTCTCCCCTTCTAATGCTTTTCTAAGAAGACGTTTAGCGATTGACACAGCTTTTTTGGCCGACCCATTTGAACAATGATATCCAGGACTACGTGTGGCAAGAGTAAAATTCCAATTGCTGGCAAATTTACGAGATATTTTGTTGCTATATTGAACATTATCGGTAACAAAAATATCTGGGGAACCGAACCTTGCAAAAATGTGCTTCAGCACAGCTCCAGCACTTTAATTTTTAATTGGGCAAAATCCTAAGCCAGTTTGAGTATGCATCAAAAAGACAACAATAACTTTTATCAGTATATGCAAATATATCAGGGATTGGATAGGAAAAATATTTCCTTTGGGGTTTTTTCTAGCATATTTTTCACAAATTTTACATTTCATTCACTCATTGTACTGTATTAGTCGTTAACTTTCTTCTATACATTATCAAGAGGAATACATTGGGAGGGTCTCCACCCCTGTATTACAGAGAATTCTGAATTGTAATTAGACATGAGTAGGTCATTTGTAGATGACGTGATTGTAGGGAAAATCAAGATGACTAGGATTGTTTATTAGAAAAGCCGAGCTCAGATGTTGCATTTGTGATCTAGCTTAGTACCAGTGTTGAGATCTGCTGCAGATGAAAACAGCTGCCTGATATTGGATCACGAATGCAGAAGTTTGCAGCTACGGGTTTCATTTAACTGCTTACGTTGTTTTAAACTAAATATATGTAAAACTAAGAGTCAGGTAGGATTCTCTAAATACACTTTTTTTTCAGTTACAATTCCACGTGGTGACATAGTTGTCGAGTATGATAAATCTTTGAATATCACCTGTAATCTTTATCCCGACATTGCAAAGAAATGTGAAAATGCGAGTTCGTACCTATATTTTGTTAGGAATCAAGATCCAATTCCAAAAGATATGGTAGGTATTTGTTTGAAATAATGATAAAATGTATTCAACACTTTCGGGGGGCATATAATTATACGAGTTCTGTTCAAAAAATAAGGTGAATGACCAAATTTCGCGGATTACTTATATTCGATAAGCGATTTTTAATTTATTTTTTTATTTAGTGCACTCGTTAAAAAATATTCACAGTTTCAGCTGTTTAAATTATTGGTGAGAAGCGTATAAGTTAGAAGTATTTTGCGTGTTTGGCGATTTTCTGCTATCGAAAGGATTTCCATCAAATTTTGTGTAAAAAATGGAATTAATTAACTGCTCAAAAACACTTGAAATGTTGACAGTGGCATACGGTGATTGTACTCTTTGAGCCAGAAAAATTTCTACCTAGTGGTACTAGCTTTTCACAGAAGGTCGAGAAGATGTGAATGACGACGATCGTCCTGGACGCCCAGCACATCAACAACCCATGAAAATGTTGGGAAAGTAAAGAAAATTGTTATGAAGAACCGTAGAATCACTATTAGAGAAGTTGCTCAGAATGTCGGCAATTCGGTTGGCTCTGCTATGCAATTTTTTCGAAAATGTTTGGTATCAAGTGTGTGGCAGTGAAGTTCGTCGCATGAGCACCGCTTAGGAATTGTTGAATGACGTCAACGGCGATACAGATTTTCTTAAAAGGGTCATAACTGGTGACGAATCATGGGTATATGGTTATGAAGTCCAAATCAAAGTGCCAATAGAAGAGCCTAGGAGAGCCAAGACCAAAAAAGCATACCAAGTTCGATGAAATGTCAAGGTTTTGCTCACTAATTTCTTCGATTACTGTGGCGTAGTTCATCAGGAGTTCTTGCCACTGTGGAAAACGAGTATTATTTTGAAGTTATGCCCGCCTGCCAGAAGTAGTACGAAGAAAACGTCCGGTATTGTGGAAAAATAATTCATGGCCAATAACTTTTTTAAAAATCCTTCATACTAAAAAATACCAGATGTGTGGCCAATCAATTAATAAAAATATTGATTGGCGTTCACAAAAGTTCCTGAGGAAAGTCACATTTTAAGTAATTAATAATAAAAGTCCAGCTTGAACTGAGAATTTGACAAGATTTTTTTTTCAGATTGAAATTGTCAACTCATCAAGTATTCGACTATACATCGATAAACCATCTAAAGTGGACAGTGATAATTATTATTGCCGCTTCAATGAATCTTTTCAAGAAAACGGTAAAGATTACAGATTGGTCTGTATGAATACTGTTTCTGTTGGTGGTAAGTATACTACTAATTTTTTTTATTCCCCGTTATTTGTGTATAAGCATGGGTACTTATTGTTTTTTTTTCAGTTGCTCCTCAAAATGTTACCAATTTTACCTGTATTGGAAGAAATCTGGATAATCTAACATGCTCTTGGGAAATTCCGAATAATTATGTCAAAACTGATTATTACTTGACGTATGCTTTCAAGAAACGCAAGTGAGTTCATATTAGTTTTTTGTTTTGTTATTAGTTTTTTTGTCTTTTCCTGATGCAGGTGGCTAAACTTGCATATTTTCAGAAGATTTACCATTTTTAATGAAATTTCAAAAGGTTTTTATAATAATTTGATATTTTCGCATAGTTTTCAGGTTTCAGTAATTATCCCCATTTATTCCTATATTTCACATAAAATGTCTACATGGTGGACCATTTTTTTTTAATAATAATACTATTTGATAGGTATATATGAGTAACACATATAGATAAGATGATGAAACATACAAATCTTTATGATTGTTGATATTTGCTTTAATTTCCTTTCTAATTTTTTTCATATCCTTTCCTTCCAGTCTTTTTTTTTCAAGTTCACAATGTAACTGTTTTACTTATCAAATCTCTCTAATTAATCTTATGTTGTGGTGCAGTTATTTAGTGGGTTGATCTGATTGAAACGTGATTAAATGAATTTGTGTTCTTTTTTTTGATAAATACTAAATAAACACTCAAGATATTGTCAACTAGAAAATCGGTTGTACTTTGAAAAACTCAACAAGCTCTTAGTTTGTTATTTTTCTATATGGATTTCTGTGAGAACATACTCATAAAATACATGTAGGCGTCATCTCTGTTCTGAATCCATTATCAGTACATCTTACTTCTCTATTAGGATAAATCAAATATTGGATTTCACTTGATTTAAATGTTTTCCTAAATATGTAAAACTTATTTGAAAAAAAAAACAACGTTTTGGATCAATTCAATAGATAACTGATAGGTTCAAATGTTTCCTTGAATTACTTTGAATCATTTTCACAACATGAGCGTAATGTAAATTATACATGTAGAAAACCCTTTTCAAGTCTTTATAATTTCTTTTTTACTCATAACAGCTCAGATGGAGGTCGAAACATAAAGAAGAAAAAAGTAAATCAACCGATGTGAGTACTGTTTGTGTCGCATAAACCTGAATACATCATAAACGTGCTTTCAAACGTGAAAAACCCATCTAAATGTTTGTCTTCCTGTAGACATTAAATGTGTAAGGTTGTTATGGGGCAATACAAGTGCTTTACATTCGCTATGGGAAAGTTATGGTTATCTGTTATACGTTTAATTGAAATTCTGTATTTATCATCGAAAATTCTGAAGGCAGCGTTTACCTTATCCCATCCTCATATCTCTTTGGTTTCTTTGGCCTCCAATGTCTTTATGTTTAAGCAGGAAGTGAATTTGCCACCAGGCCCTTAAGAATGTGATCAACCGATGGATACAAAATGCTTGCACCCCAGTAAAATTAATTAAACTAAAAACTAAAATAGAACTCTATAAACACTGTTAACACAATTACTGTTATTACATTCAGATCTTTGATGTAGTCTGGCAATTCAATGAACATTTTTTAAGCGAATTTCAAAATTAGCGGGTCTATTCCTGCACACCAATTCAAACTCCTTCAAATAGGTTCATCTTCTTAAAGAAACTGATTAAGTTATTTGGTGAATGATCTTTCCGGTCTCATGGCCGTAGAAACTCTGTCGAACATCGTAAACCTGACACAGTCCGTGGCGGATCAGGCAATAAGTATGCGCTTGCCGCTTCATCTATCAGATAGAGATGATACCAAGTCTCTTCATAAGATCATTAGATACATTGATTTATTTCATTCAAATAGAATCCCTATCACAAAGTATTTTTTAAAGTTACAATATTTCATTTTTTTTTCAAAAAATGTGAGGGTTTTGGCGGATCTAAATTAACAGACAAATTATTAAACTGGTTGAAACCTTTAAAAAGCAGAGGATTTGTATGCCCTGCATATTTGCATAAATTGATTTTACAATGTGTCTTTATGTAATTTAAGACAAGTAGATAAGACAAATTAATTTAAGACACAGGTATCTATGGTATAAATAAGGATAGCTGTAAGTAGGATTAGTTTGATCTTCCTCTTGAAGATGATCACTTGGTGATCGAAACACGTGTCGAGGTGTTGAAATAACGGTTTGGTGTTGAGAAAAACCTCCAGAGTAATATTCAATGGTATTTACGTCTATTTCACTGAAATCCTTAATTTGTTGATCAAATCAAGTCCCATACTAGTTGAACTAAAATTAGAAAATATGCAGAATGATCATATATTTTAGGTGATTCATGCAATAAGACAGATAAATAAAAAAAATAGAGACAACAAAGTCTATCAAACTTCCACAATTATTTGTAACACTAGTGGATTCAGTTACCAAGTGGTTCAAACCATAAAATGAACTGGAAGACAAAATAGGAATCCAAGAAAATTTTTATTATTTACCACAAATATGTCACAAATTTCTGCCTAAAATACGGTCGTATAGGACCCTAAGCAGGTTGAAATCGCTGTCCTCTCTCTACCGAAGGTTGTGGAGAGCAGATATGTCTTGAATGTTTTTTGTGGCCGCTGACGATGTGATGCGGATAGAGCCGAAGGACTGAATATGTTCCATTTGGTTTGATCTGTATCTATATTTGAGATGCTGTCGATGTTGAACTCTTCGTAGATATCTGAAGAGTTCCTATTTCTCATCAAGCAGACACAAACAGCTATTTGCTTACTGCATTGATTAATACAGAACAACTAAATTTAATAAGTAGTTTTTTTTGTGTTGGACTTTGAAACTATGGCTTTCCATCGGCTGGTTTTATGTATCTAATGACTCTGATAGTAAATTCATTTCTAGCTTCGTTGAAAATAACATACCCTGCTGTTTCTTACCTTTGCTGAATAAGTGCTACCTACATTTTCTTTTATATAAAAAAAGTATCAACTGACAGAGAGAAGTTATATTTTATGATGCTCATGAGCTAATGTTATGTAATGGTCAGCAGTCAAAAATGTTCTAGGAATTTTGTTGAGCCATTTAATCTGTAAAATAATAGTGAAGAACATTACAGTTGTTATCGAAAAGTGACACAGTAACATATGCTTATTTAATATTTTTTTATGATCGTTGAAATTGTTGACTGTTATCAAAGTGTGTGAACACGAGATGCTGGCATCTTGTGCCAACCCCGTAAATGTTTGGAAAATGCAAGGCAAATTCCAATCAAGTGAAAAAAATATCTGTGAATGAACATCTTATCGTCAAGATAAAGACATAAGTATTCCCAAGCTCAAAAACTAAACTTAATTGTAAACTATACTCACTAAATATTTATTTATTTAGCTAACGACTATATGAAATACTGTCGTTACTATTTCTATGACAGTTTATCATTTATTTATTTTAACTGAAGTATCAAACGTTTCGTCCGCTGCTGTGGTAGACATCAGTGGTATGTGCTTTGACTGTGAGCACGAAGGATATATCTCGAAGTCTCAGCAGCGACTGACTGACGAGCTACGGGTTCACTAGTATTTATAATTTCAAAGGGTGGAGGGGATGATGGTGGGGGCGATTGGTCCACAATATTGGTGGGTCATTCTGATTGATCTGCACTGTTACGATCGACCCAGCAAAAGTGGGGACCAATCAGGAGTCAGCATTTGCATGGACACCTTGCCATCGCCTCTTTATCACCTCCACCATCTCCACCATTCTTTGAAATTGTACTCGGGCCCTTAGGCTCAAGAGGCAGACCTCTAAAGGTATCTGTTTGTGTTTACACAACATGAGAAACATGTAGACTTCGATTAAATAATTAACAGGAACAGCAATATTTTTAATTTATCAATGATTTTAACGGCAGTATGAACACAAAGATGCTACTTCTCTCTGTCTCTCTCTCTCCCCTCTATTTGCTCTCTGGGCAGTGGTAGCCTCCTATCTGTTGAATTGTCATTAATTTTCTCATGTACTACAATTTTCCGATTTTTTTCTGGTTGGGTTCTGTTCAATATCATGCTATAGATTATAATAGTTTGAGAACAACATCCTCTCTGTGTGGTTCAGGGTTTTCTTCATAATATCGCAGTTGCTTCAATAGGTTTTTTCAGTTGAACTTGCGTTATGGAGTTACAGCTGAGGTTCTTACCGTCTCGAACAAAGCAATTTGCCAACGTCGCCTAAAAGAGATGCTGCTTGTTATTAAAATCCTATGTGTGCACTAATTTTTCCTAACCAATAATAAATATTGTCTGCTAAATATTAATCAGCTTAGAATGTGTTATATCATTGCAGATTAATCTCAATGAAAATTTTGTCAATGTAATAAGATTGACCGATGAAAATTCTCTCAATGGATTTTGACTCACATGAAATTTTGCAATGACTACCACCAAATATGAGTCTGTTCTGGCTATCCCCACAAAATCCAGTGCTGAATCCGCTACTGGTTACGCCAGTGAGGTGGTGAAAGAAATGATATTTGTATTTATGTGGATATACATATGTATGTCTGCATTTAACTTATATGTGGTGGAATCGGCATACTTGATGAAAATCCATTACGTATTCAAGAAACACTTCATTGTGGGATTGTTACTAAACAGTTTTACAAAAACTCAACACGTGTTTCGCTATACAATAGCTTCTTCAGGTGTGTTTACGCAGTTTGAACATGCCTGAAGAAACCTATCATATAGTAAAACAGGTGTTGCGTTTTTGTAAACTCTGGAAATCTCACAATAAGGTGTTATTTGAATATAATTTATTTATATTTCTAGTATTGCCTAACAACTGTTTTTTTGATGTTTACTAACTAATGTGATTTTTATCTTTTTTTGATATACTTCCTTGTCCTTATATCAATATCTTTATGAAATGGCAGAATGTATTTTAAACTATATCCATCCAACAAACAAAGTAACCTAAAAAACATGATCACCACGCATATTTGCATCTATTGGGTAAAATAAACATGCCTCCTTACGGTGGCCAATTAGATTTAACTGCAATCGGCTGGCAGAATTCATTGTTACAGTGTCGAAGTGGTCAGTTACGTTTAAACGCCTATGGTGTGTACATATACGTTATTTCAAAGTTTAACATTTTTAAAATGTCAAGCACTGATACGGCTGGAAAAACTGCTGTGTCCCTACGTTACCCCTAAAAATATTTCCTATACCCAGCCGCATATTATTAAAAAAAATCGGTCGTTCTTTAGAGCGACTCTGTACAAGCTGCCTTGTGTGGGAGGTCACGTGTACTATGCATGATAATGTTTTGGAGTACTTCGTAGCTCAGATGGACAGAGTATAGATATTTATTATTCAGACGAATGTGTTACTGAAGTTTGGGAAGGGGGGAGGAATTGGAAATCATTTAACGTCATCTCCGAAAATGTTCTTCATAGTAAGCAGTAAGTACAAACTCTCACAGTGAGTGGAGTGATGGAATGGACAAAGAAATAATTGTATCTAACTAGAAGCTTAGCTATTCATCTCTATTGAGAGCATGTCAGTAATAATTCGGACAATCTCCTATTTATGAATGTGACATAGAAAAATAATATAACTTGTTCAAAGTCCTTCTTTGACCTGTGATAATATTGACAGTAACTGCAGACATTGTCATATAATATCACACGTGTGGTCTTATCTCGTCTCCACAGTACGGTTAATGGGTTACACATGCATTAGCCATTTGTGCATCTGAAATCCGAAGTCGAAGAAGTGAGATGACTTATATAGCTACTGCTTCAAACAACCTAACCTCTCAATTTTCATTTATAAAATTCGATAAAAGATAACCCAATGTTACTACGAAGGCGATGGAAAAGAATGTGTATTATGGCATCAGGAATTGATACGCATGTGCAATGATTCGTTGTCTTAATGCACTGTATTTGCCTTGGACCAGCACGACTAAGTCGTCTCTTAAGCGCCGTACTTTATATTCATTATGCTACAGAAGATGAAGTCTGGTATTGGATCGTGAGAACAATGCTTGGGCTCTTTTATTATTTAGAGAGCGCATGCTCGCAGTGAAAGTTACAGAGTGACAGAATGCAATTTCTTATTCAA